TGACTAAGTAAACCTAGGAGCAAAGACTTGTAATTCATTTAAGGTGTGTTTGTTTGGGGTTTGTATTTTGAATTGAAATTTGAATAATAAAAATTTTAAATTTGAATAGTTGTAAGATGTGATATAAATATGCATTGATGTGATATTTTGAATGTAAAACTAAATTTTAGTAGAATATAAAAAAATGAAAAATAGATAGTTTGATTTGATATTTTTAAAAGAAAAAAATTGGATGAATAATAAATTTGAGGGAAAAAACCTAGGATAGATTCTTGAAACTAGTTGTAAAATACATTGCTTATTTGATATTTAGTCTATTTTGATCCACTCTTTATAATCTTTATGTTACTATTATTTTCACTTTCTTAAGTTTTTAATGACATTTTTAACTTAGTAATACATCTTCTAATGAGAAAGTCCTTAAAGAAGAAAAGGTCTTATAGGATCTACCTATTTTAAGTCTTTTAATTGTTTATAATGTCGTTTGAAAAAGAGATATGATTTACTTTTTTTGTCCACTAAAAAATTATTTATTTTGATCCGTCTCACAATAAAATATTATTATTTATTATTATATATTACACAAATATCATTACCTTTATATCATATAATACTATTAAAGTTATTTTTTTTTCTTTTCCAATTTCTCTTAGTTTGTACTACATATCAATATTATACTATTATTAAAAAATTATGTGCAAAAACAACCGAGTACTTATTTAAGGAACAAAGCGAGTATTATTTTAGAAATATTTGTTGATTATGGATAAAGTGTTCTTTAATTCAATATGATAACTGAGATCCTTAACTTATTACTTCTATGAACGAACATAGTTATTTTGTACTCTTTATTATGATCACCTAAGTTTTATATTAATCTAGTTTTGGGTATGGTTAATAATTTAATTGTTTAGTTGACATTATATGAATTGATTTCTTGATTGTGTTCCTAATATATAGATTGTCTCGATGTATGTGATCCTTAAGTGTTATATATGTTAGAATCTATCATTGATATTTGGTGATCATGCTTATTATTTGAATTGCATGTTTCTTGTGGATTAGTTGCTTTTATTTGATTAAAACATGTTATGTCTTCAATTGATTGTTTGTGGTCTTTGTGCCTATAATATTTGCATTTAGACTGTAAATTTTTGTACTTAGACTGTAGGACTTAATACTTAGGTTGTAGGACTTTGCGCTTAGAGTGTAAGACTTTAGGTTGTAGGGCTGTATGTTTGAATTGTAGGACCGTGTACTTAAGTTGCAGAATAGTCTGTCTAAGCTATAGAGTATCTGAATTATAGAGTAATGTGTCTAAGCTGTATAGTAGCATGCCTGAGATGTAGAGTTGTGTGTCTAAAGTATAAAGTTATGTGTCCATACTGTTTTGTGTGCCTATACATTCTCTAGTTGATATCAAATAAAGTGGAGTTCATGTTATGAGATTCTAAGTTTTATATTCATCATATTGTTGCTTTTTTTCATTTTTGAGTATGCACGTGTGTTTCTGAATTGTGCAGTATCTTATTTGTTCGCTTACAATCTCTAGGCTCATTGTGTTGAACATGCTTATACTTGCTTGTTTTTATAGTAGCTTATGTGTACTACGTGCTAGGTTACTGTGTGATTAATCTAAGTGTATGTTAGAGACTTGTGTTTGTAATGCATGTGTGAAACTCAAACCTCTCCGAACACTCGCCGGAATCGCTCCCTTCCCTCCCTCAGCCGCTGCTCTCCCCATCTCCAATCCTTTCTTACAGTTTTTTATTCTTGAGAGAAACTTCCGCAAACTCCCTCCTTACGCTATATCTAATAAACCAATGTTTGTTTGGGGGATTTTCCCCCAAATACATTATTCATCCACTTTTTTTTTCCAAAAAATATCAAATCAAACACCTACTTTTCATTTTTTATATTATACTCCCTCCATCCCAGAATTATATTCTTAATTGAGTTGGATACGAGATTTAAAGAATATTGGTAGTTGGTAAAAAATATAGATAAAAGACTTTTTTGCCTTTATGAGAGTATTAGTGTAAAAAGTAGTGACAATTGTGTAATAAAAATGAAAAAGTAGATGTAGTTTTATGGTGATATGGTTATTTATGAAAATAAGACTACTGTTTTGGGACGGACAAAAATGGTAAACAAGACCATTGTACTGGGACGAATGGAGTACTAAAAATTAATTTTACATTCAAAACATCACATCAACACCTATTTATATCATATCATACAACTTCTCGAATTCAAAATTTTTACTATTCAAATCTCAACTCAAAATCCAAACCTCCAAACAAACGACACCCTAAACAAACCCATAACTAACACACCCCAATTAATGAGCTATTAGGAATTGGGTTTAGGTTTATGGTTTGGGTTTGAGAATAGAGTTTGGATTAGAACAGATTGGGTCGATCCGGTTGGTTGGATTAAGAAGTCAGTTAACTTATTTTATTTACTCTCTCGTTGGGTTAGGTCTCGAACGATTAAAATTTTCAACATTAAAATTCAATTTTACATTTAAAATATCATATCAATATATATATATTTATATCATATCAAATAACTATTTCAATTCAAATTTCACTATTTAAAATAAAAAATCAAAACCTCACAAATAAATTAACCCTTTTTAAAAAAAATTACATCTAATCCAAACCAAATTTTAAATTTTATTTTGATTTGAACATATATTTAAATTTTATTTTGATTTGAACATATATTTAAATTTCAAATATTTTGCTTACTTATACTTATGCGACTAAATATTCCATTTACCCAAAATTTTCTATTATTTTAAACAAAGATTCTAAATGTCAAAATTCTATCTAAAACATTAAGTAAATTAAAGAATAATTTTTATACTTTTCATTTAAGAATTTATACCGTAATAATAATAGTACTACCTCCGTTTCAAATAGAGTGTAACATTTATTTTTGGCATGAGTTTTTAGGTTGGTAGTATTAAGTAGGATAATTTAAAAAATTAGGGGATGTGATGATGAGAGAAATATATATTTTATTTTTTTATTTGGATGATGTGAGAGGATAAAGTGTAAGGTAGAGATTAAATATAATTAATTATTTCATATTTTAAAAATATTGTAAAGTATTTGAAACATATAAAAAAAAATATTACAGATTATTTGGAACGGAAGGAATATTAAAATACTTAATATTATTATAGTAATAATATTTAAGAATAGAATAGAACAGAACAGCTATGAATTATTTAAATATCGACGTGACTGACACAGAAGCAGAATATATATATATATATATATGTATAATGTGTCAGCTTTTTAATTATTTGATGAGCTGTCTCCTTTTGATAAACTCTATATAATAAAATTTCCTTTACAATTTGCCCGTCCCTTCAACCTTTTTTGCAAAATTATTGTTCATTGTTGCTTAGGCTTGTTCATGTAAAAATCAATTAAATACCATTATTTATTAAAAAATATATATATATATAAACATTTATGTAAAATATTATGGTTTTATTCTTTCTATATTTCTTCCACGTATTTTTATAAAAAAATATACATATTTATTATTTTTATATTTTTTATATAATTGTCTATATTTTACGTAAAAAATTTTTATTTTAAATACTCAAACACATCCTACATCTAATACATATAAATATAAATTAAATTCTTATTTCTTTTAAAAAACACGTATTAAACTTAATCTCTAATATTTTAAATTATAAGCAAGTCTTTATTAACTTTACAATTTTTAGTTTTATTGGACCAAATTTTTATTTGAATAAAATAAATAAATAATTTTTTATTTTATAGTTTTTTTTTTTTTAAAATTAAGTAATATTTTAGGTTTATTCTTTTATCATTTTAAACTAAAATTAATACTCTCTTCATCTCATATCTATATATCAAATTGCTTTTTGCACGAAGTTTTAGAAATATTAGTATTATATTGAGATAAAGTAGAAATAAAAGTAAAAATACTATTAACCCTATTAGTATTGTATGATATAAAGGTAATGACGTTTGTGTAATATATTGTAAATTGGAAGGGTATTTGTAATATTAGGTAAATAGTACAATTACTAAAAAAAGAAATAAATATTTTGTTATGAGACGAACCAAAATTGAAAAATAGATAAATTGTTAAGGGACAGAGGAAGTACTATTCATTTGACATAATTTTAATAAAAATATATTCCCTCAGTCTGCCTCTAAGAGTCATATTTACTTTTTGCATTATTATATTTAACGGTAAAAATATCTTTATATTTGTATAATTTTCATATAAATATCATTCTATTAGTATTGAAAAATACTAATTGAAGCATTTTTGAATTTTTTTCTTAATTTGTATTATTTTTTATAGTAATAATTAATATTCAAAGATATAAATGAGACCCTCAGAGTATGAATATTTATAAAATATCGTATCAAAATATTATTTAAATAAAAATTTAAATTAATATTTAATTTCAAATTGCAAAACCAAACCTGTCATTAATACGGTCCATTCATTTACAAGCTACTATTTTATCGCATGTATTTAATTGAGTAAATTTCCATCTAACCCCTTCAATTCTCACCGCACTACATTTATTACCCAACAGCTACTTATTTACACCTCCAGAAATTTCAGTAAATTTTTAAATTATTTACCGTGCATATTAATTGTACGATTATTTGAATATATACTTATATAAAATTTCAATTATATTAATACTACACGTAGAATTTACTGTAATTTTATTTTTCACCATCTTATTTTACCTTTTTCATTTAATAAATTAAATACGTATTAATTAATTATAGCTTTAGATAAGATAACGCAGACTTTAAAAGAGACAAGTGGGAGTGGGATTCAAACCCAAAATTAAATTAAGCATTAAATTAAAATAAATTAGGTTAACAAATACCTACAGCTCATAAATAAACATAACAACAACAACAACAATAACGCCTACACGTACATAGATACCAGGGGCATTTTCGTCATTTACCTCCTGTCAAAACCGAGACAAAGGGCTATGTCCATTCTGCACCATCAAAAACTGCAGCTCGAAATTTTCTCCCCAAAAATTTTTCCCCCTTTCTTCATCGCCAAAAATTGTCGAAGTCGGAGAATCTTAGGTCGAAATTTTTGTTGTTGTTGAGGAGGAAACGATCGAAACGTCGGACAGGATGAAGAAATTAAGCTCTGTTCGGGAGGTTTAAGATTTGAGAATCGAAGAAATTTGGTGTTGCAGAGATGCCGGAAATCCAAAGGCCTGTTAAGACAAGAGGCTTCTATGTCCGAATGAAGCTCTCCAATGGCGGACAGAGGCATACGAGGAATTCAGCGAAGCAGTTTTGTTACAGATACTCGAAATGGATTCTGTGGTTTTCCATCTCTCTGTATTTCTTATCCTCTTTCTTCAATAAACCCTCGCCTTCCTTCTCCCGCACGATTCTCCGACATTCCGCCGCTTCCCGTGTCCTAATCGAGGAATCTTATTACAACTCCACGTCGTCTCTCAGATTTCCGATGAATGGAATGAAGGTATACGTGTACGACCTCCCGCCGGAGTACAACGCCGCCTGGCTGTCCGACCGGCGGTGCAGCCGCCACCTGTTCGCGGCGGAGGTAGCGATTCACCGCGCGCTGTCGAGCAGCGAGTTTAGGACATTAAATCCTTTGGATGCCGATTTTTTCTTCGTACCTGTTTATGTCTCGTGCAATTTCAGCAAGGTTAATGGTTTTCCGGCCATCGGACATGCCAGAGCTCTAATGGCGGCCGCCGTCCGCCACGTGTCCGAACGGTTCCCGTTCTGGAACCGCAGCGGCGGCGCCGATCATGTCTTCGTGGCGTCGCATGATTTCGGGTCGTGCTTTCACACGATGGTAAGGGTTTGGGATTTGAGTTTTTTTTTTCGGTTTCCTGTTTGGTTGAGATTTTCGAATTTCAGAATTTTGAATTTTAGGGTAATTTTGTCTGTAGGAAGACGCCGCTGCGGCGGAAGGAGTGCCGGAGTTTCTTAAGAACTCGATTGTTTTGCAAACGTTTGGGGTGGAAGATAAACACCCTTGTCAGAACGTTGAGCACGTGGTAATTCCGCCGTATGTTTCGCCGGAAAGTGTACGGACGACGCTGGAGAAGACGGCGTTAAATGGCCGCCGTGACATTTTCGCGTTTTTTAGGGGTAAAATGGAAGTTCATCCGAAGAACGTTAGCGGCCGTTATTACAGCAAGTAAGATCAAAAAAAATTGAATCGACTGTTTAATTAGAAACGTGATTTTTTATTTCTCCTGTCATTTCAGGCGCGTGAGGACGATGATATGGCAGAGATACGGCGGCGACCGGCGGTTCTATCTCCGGCGGCGGAGATTCGCCGGTTACCAGTCGGAAATCGTACGGTCGAAGTTTTGTCTATGTCCTTTGGGGTGGGCCCCCTGGAGCCCCCGGCTGGTGGAATCGGTGGCGCTCGGCTGCGTGCCGGTGATCATAGCGGACGGAATCCGGTTGCCGTTCCCCGCCGCCGTGCCGTGGGCGGAGATCTCGCTGACGGTGGCGGAGCGCGACGTGGGCCGGCTGGGGAAGGTCCTGGACCACGTGGCGGCGACGAACCTGACAGTAATACAGAGGAACTTGCGGGACCCGGAGGTCCGGAAGGCGCTGATGTTCAACGACCCGATGGTGAAGGGGGATGCCACGTGGCAGGTCCTAGTGGCCCTATCTGCCAAGCTGGATAGGTCCCACAAGAGGCTTTCTAGCGAATGAGCGAGGGACACGTGGCATTACGTTGGGCGGCGCTGTCTTGACGTGTATGGGAAGGATATAGAGTTGGAGACAGCTGGAAATTGAAGCGTATGGGAATGTCCAACTGGGCCCTATGGGTGACGTGGCGCGATGTGATTGGGCGGTTTTTTTCTCTGACTGTGGGTAGTGGGTCGTCACGGGTCATATGTTGCAATTACATGTGAGGGAAGGTGCACAGTGTTGGGATATTTCAGTAATTGAGGGGGGACCGGGTGTGGTGCTCCCGGTCCACATGGACCACCGCGGTTGAGCTGAGCTCGGGTATTCATATTCATATTTCATTTATTATTTTAATGTTAAATTACAAATATTGAATTTGGAATTTGTTGTTTATAAATGAATGGGAAAAAGGGACAACATGTGGGCAGCTGTGTGATGTGTCAGAACTCAGACCAGACCGGCTTTTAATTTCACAAATGGACTTTGTCACGGGTTGCCACTCTTCATCATAATAAATAAATAAAAGTATTAATATAATATTTTTTTAGGACTAAAGTTTTAATTGAATTGGATAAAAGATTTAAAGAATATTGATATAGTTGATAAAAAATATAAATAAAATATCTTTTTTTTCTTACGAGTGGATTAATATAAAAAGTAGTGACAATTATATAATAAAAATAAAAAAGTAGGAACAATTTTATAGTGATATGATTATTTATGAAAATAAAATTATTATATTGGAACAGACAAAAATGGTAAACAAAATTATTGTATTGGGACAAAGGGAGTATGTACACTTTGGTTGTACTCCCTTCTTTTTATATAATTTGTCTATATTTTTTTTTTTCTGTTTCATATAATTTGTCTTTTTTTTAAAAAAATATAATTATACATTTTAATCAAATTTTAAATTTTATAATTTTAATTAAATTATTTAATTATATTAATTTTAATTTTTAATTATTTTTATTAATATATTGTTTAATTATTTACTGATTATATTTTATTTAAATTCCCGCCCCCATCGACTCTTCCACTAGAGAGATTTAAACATCAAACTATAGTGTGACTGCCCATGTTATGTTTCCCATATGCAAAGCTGAAAATGGGTATTATATTATATAATATAAATAAATAAATATATATATATATATTGAATATTCGTCCTGCTCCTCGTGATGCGAGTTGTGTAAGTAGACGTTAAAAGCATCTTCTTATCCAAATAATTAATTATCCTTAAATATCAACATTATATGTAATTAATTAAGACTTTATCAATATTTTAGCTACGTCAGAAAATTAATAACAAAATTGTTTAAAAATTACATAAATATATGACATTTCTGTTCCATCTCAATAGTCTATATAAAAACATAGGAAAAAATTAATAATAGGGTTATGTTTACGTATCCATCTGGAATTTACCTAACTTAAAAACTTTTTCACAGGCCTGATAAACAAGTCACACTAGACGAATCAAATGTGACAGGTGATCTGAGACGTCGGAGATTTGAACCGGGACTTCACAGTCACAAGTCCAACCTCCACAAACTAGGCCATCGTTTACGAGACGACATCGTATATTATTATTAATCTCATATATTGTTGGTATAGTACTTTAGGATGCCATCTACTCCAATAAAATTCCTACTTAAAATATCCTTACATATTCTATCATATATCCAAGATTATCTTTTACTAAAATAAGTGTATATATATATATATGTCAGATGGGAAAGTTGTAAAAAATATCATATATATATATATATATTTTATTATCACTTTTGTCTTGTATTTATTTCGCTGGCAAAATATATCTCACATGATTATAAAAGTTGCTATTTCTATCATTTGGCCGCGCGTGAAGGCGCGCGGTGTGAATGTCACGCGCCGCGGACAAATGACATAAATAGCGACTTTTGTAAACATATGAGATATATTTTACCATAAAGATAAATACATGACAAAAGTGATAATAGGGTATAAGTGTGATATATTTTTTGTAATTTTCTCTATATTATAACAAGCATACCACCATAAAAATATTCTACCTTACAACTTATATACACTAACGCACATATGTTAAGATTTTCAATGTATTTACACATTTGTCCTAAAGATTCATAAAAATACATTGTGTGTTCAAATATTGCCTGTCCAACTAAATAAAGTACCATTGCTAAGGTTATAAAGATTTAAAATCATAGTTGCATTTCAAATTTCAAATCTAATTTAATGATGCATTATTATGCGAAAGTTAAATTTTCATAAGTATGTACTCCCTTCGTTCCAATACAATAGTCTTATTTACTATTTTTGTCTGTATTAAAATAATAGTCTTATTTTCATAAATAACCATATCACTATAAAACTGCCATTACTTTTTTATTTTTATTATACAATTGTCACTACTTTCTACACTAATATACTCACAAGGCAAAAAAATCTTTCTATACTTTTTACCAACTACCAATATAATATCAATATTCTTTAAATCTCGTGTCCAACCCAATTAAGACTATAGTTTTGAGACGAAGGGAGTATATATTATAATAGATCATAATGTGAGTTTTGATAAAATATACTACCTCCGTTTAGCTCTTTACTTTTTGCGTGCTGATATTTGAATATTAATTATTATATCAAAACATAGTACAGATTAAGAAAAAAATGTAAAAATAATTCAATTAGCGTCTTATAGTACTAATAGAAGGACATTGTATAAATAATTATACAAATGTAATAAATACAACGATGCAAAAAATAAATGTGACCCTAAAAGGCGGACGAAAGGAGTATAAAATAATAATTTTTGTCATTCAAATTTATTATTATTTTCTTCTTCTTTTTTTTTTGTAATCATAAAAATATTTTGTTTTATTTTTAGTAAAACAATACCATTTTTTTTTACTATAAATGAAAAAAAATTATATTTTTATTTTTTAAAAAAATTTATATCCGATCAAATGAGAATAAATATGAACGAGGGACTGAGAACAATAAATTAGTTTGCTTTCCTCCAAATAAATAATCCAACAATGTACTCTTGCAAATGACTATAATAATTTTTTCAAAACAAATAACTGAGATTATTTACAAAATAATCTATTATTTATCAATTGAAATTGAAACTATTACAAATTTACAACATAAAATAATTCTTTTTTTAAAAATAATAATAAACCAAATATAATAACAAGTATATATATATTTTTTTAAAAAAATAAAGCAAATAATTTAGAAAAAATCTAAGCAAATTTAAAGAGATACAAAATTTATGAATTCTTTCACACACTCTGCCACTGCGGCCGGCCACCAGGGCTCCGTCGGACACGGAGCGCTGACCGGGTGCGTCTTCTCCACCGGTGTCCGACCAGAACACTGGCGGGGATTTAATCCGTTGCTAAAACCCTTCACAAAAGTGACTTTTTTTTTTTGTTGGTAATCCCTTGCTAAAAGGAGTTACTCCAAGGTTCTAAATATAGTCATAGATGTATATTTTAATTAATATATATATATATATATATGTAAGAAGTAGTAAAATATATATGCATATGATAAACATTAAAGAGGATGCTACAAATTAAGCAAATCGACTGCAATGACAAGTGTTTAGTAGAAAATTTTGAATGTTGTTTTATTTTATTTGTTACGAGAAAACGAGAAAGAAAGCAAATAAAGAACACAGAGGTTTTACGTGGTTCGGTGACGGTGTGTCAACCTACGTCCACGGGCAGGAACCGGAGAGATTTTATTATACTGATTCAGAGATTTACAATATGTCATCCGACTAAGAACCATAGTTGTCTATTTATAAGCACCCCAAAACATCCTAAACCCTAAGTCCATTTGTTATTAATTAGGATAAGCCCAAAAGGAACCCTGCCAATTGAAACAGCCCTTTCGCTTTGGTTTAGGGTCGGGTAGACCGCTAAATCCAAGTCACGTTTCAACAATCTCCACCTTGACTTGGAGTTTCTCCAACCGCCAAAGGTTCGTCAGTATCTCTCAGTCGTCTCCTTCCTGCCAGATGCCCCGAGAAGGCTTTACCTCCTACGAATATTCACCAAGTTCAAGCAGTGCTCAAACTTCTCCGTCGGTAGCGCCTTTGTCAACATATCAGCTGGATTGTGCTCTGTAGCTATTTTCTGAATAGAAAACTTGTCTTCCTCCAGAACATCACGGATAAAATTCAACCTTACATCAATATGTTTGGTTCTCTCATGATACACTGGATTTTTAGCCAAACTCAAAGCACTTTGACTATCACAGAATAACACCGGTTTCTCCACCTTCAGACCCAAACTCTGCACCACACCATGTAACCAGATACCCTCCTTAATACCTTCAGTCATTGACATGTATTCCGCCTCAGTCGTCGACAATGCAACCGTAGGTTGTAAAGTAGACTTCCAACTGACTGCACATCCAAACAGAGTGAAGATAAAACAAGTTAGTGATCTTCGTTTCACCAAGTCACCCCCGTAATCAGAGTCTGCATAGCCAAAAAGACCATCACCATGGCCTTTATCATCATATACCAGACAAATATCAGACGCTCCTTTCAAATATCGCAAGATCCACTTTACAGCTCCCCAGTGAGCTTTACCCGGATTAGCCATAAACCTGCTCACCACACTAACCGCATAAGCGAGATCCGGTCTCGTACATACCATCGCATACATAAGACTTCCAACTGCACTTGAATATGGAACCGTCTTCATGTAACTAACCTCTTCATCTGTAGCCGGTATAGTGCTTCGATCAAGTTTAAAGTGTGCCGCCAAAGGGGTACTTACCGGTTTGGACTGATCAACAGAGAATGCCTGCAAAACTTTCTCAATATACTTTTCTTGAGAAACCCATAACCGTCTTGCTTCTCTATCACGCCAGATCTCCATACCAAGTATTTTCTTTGCCGCACTCAAATCCTTCATCTCAAACTCACCCTTTAGTAAAGCCTTCAAGTCATTAATTACAGCCATGTTTTTAGCTGCAATTAACATATCATCCACATACAACAGCAGATACACAAAGGAATCAGTAGAAACTTTCTTCGAGTAAACACAGTTATCAAACTGATTACGAGTATAACCATTAGACACCATGAATGAGTCAAATATCTTGTACCATTGCCTCGGAGACTGCTTCAAGCCATACAGAGATTTCTTTAACAAGCATACCTGGTCCCCTTTAGAACTGTAGAACCCCTCCGGTTGAGACATGTAAATCTGTTCTTCTAGATTACCATGAAGGAATGCTGTTTTTACATCAAGCTGCTCCAGCTCCAGATCAAAAGCACCCACCATTGCCAAAAGAACCCGAATGGTTTTGTGTTTCACCACAGGAGAAAAGACTTCATGGTAATCGATTCCTTCCTTCTGTGAAAACCCTTTTGCCACCAGTCTCGCCTTGAACCTAGCAGGTTCAACACCAGGAATTCCCTCCTTTCTTTTAAAGACCCACTTGCATCCCACTGGCTTCAC